GCTCTTTCCAATATGTGTAGTTGGTACCATCAAAGAGCGGTGGCCTAGAGGTTGATTGACCTTCTCCAATTCCTGCATAGAGATTTCTAGAAGAAGAACCCATGATCGCTTTACTCTCAAACGGTTAAGTTTGGACGCGAGTTAGGCTCTGATACCAATTGTTAGAATAATAGACCAACGCTAGAGGGGGGGGTGAATAGGGTTTGATCGGAGAAATCGCAGGAATTAAAAAATTAAAAGAGAAGTAAAGAGAAGAGTAAGAGGCACACCGAATTTTACCCTGGTTCACCACAACTTATGGCTAATCCAGCCTCCCGAGAGACTCTCTCGAGCTACACTACTATCTCGTTAAGCTTACAGGTGCTTAACAAACCGTTACAACTTGAGAGTTCGAGTCACACGAACCTCAACGAATCCTTCAAAGGAAACAGACCTTCCTTTGAATCAACGAGAGAAACACTTTCTCTCAACGTGTCTAAGAACACAAGTACACTCAAGAACGAGACAATCTTATAGAGTAGATTATGAGTAAACTAAGTACGCTCAAGAACAACTCAACCTTCACACACAAATGGCTCTAGAAAGCTATGGAAAATGATGATATTTGAATGCAATGAAAGTATAGATGTTGTGAAGTGAATTGGTGAGAAAAGCAGACCCAAACACCCCTTTTTATAGTGCCAAAGAAGGCTCCAACGGACAATGCATTAAAGGGGTGATTGGCTTGATTTAAGGGATTGAAAAGATTTGGGATCTGCAGAACATTGGCTTCCCATCGATGTTTAGACTCAACCATCGCTGGTAAGCCAATTTTCCTTCAGTTTTGAAGTCAACGGTCACCTACCCATCGATGGGTACAAGCTTCCCATCGCTGGGTGGGAGGTTGACTTCCAAACAAGGAAAGAATCAACCTTTAATGACCACCAACGGTCATGCCTTCCCATCGATGGTATACCCTTACCATCGCTGGGTTCCCATCGATGGGATAGGTTTCCCATCGCTGGGCAAGGTCGTTCTGCCTTGTGTTAATATTGCACCAAGGCTTTAACAGCGATGGGTGGAACTCCCCATCGCTGTTTGGCATGGTTCTGGAAACTGGTTTGGCT